ACGAAAGTATTCATTAAATTACTATTTTCCTAGTTTGGGTAATTTAGAATAGGCTGGGCATTCCCTAAGATATATTGAGAATGGTATACGATATTACGCGAGTCTATTACTGGCAAATTAGAATAAGAATAGGGGGAGTAACTACGATATACGTGCCGCAGGGCCGTCATTCAATCGTCGTATATTCACTCTACTACCCTAGAGAGTTATATAAGAATATATTGGCTAGCTTATGGCTAGACACATAGTATAATAGGAAAGCAAAAGAGATGAATAAAGCTTTTGCTGAAGGGTTCTTGGAACTAACGGTACTTCTTGTTGGCAATATCTGTACTTCTCTCCTCTATCAACTCACCACCATGGAAGCCACGAATCTAGATTGGCTGGGCGATGAGCTTATAGTCGACTTGGAACACCCAAGCTCCTATTTGATAGTCCTATAGCGGACCGAGCCGCTAAGTGGCGAACGCGATCAATCGCTGCTTCGGCTCAGTGAAAGGGTGATTTTAAATGGAAGGTATCCCACCTGATAAGATTAGAGCTAGATAGATTTTCGCAGACTTATACCCGATGCCGATATACAGTGTGGAAGTAGAATATAATTACAGAGAAAAGATGAAGGACTAAATTATAGACTAGGAGAAGATATTGATATTTGATATAGTAATAAAGGCTGTTGAAATCAACCAATTGGGTTGCTATAGAGCTTGTTTCAGCAGTGGTATAGTATGTCGAACTCAATATGTATAACTAAGAAATACCAAATGGCAACTGTAGACGAGGAATTAATATCCTGGAAATTGGACCAGGTTAGAGGGTAGTATATTCATTGACCAAGATCTGGGATATAGCATTGTTCTGGACCCAAGGTCAGAACTATACTGTGTTGATAAGCGAGCGAACCTTGATCCCTTACTACTATCCCATGTAGTGTATTCAGAGACTTCGTATTGTGATTTTCCTTCCTATAATAGCTATAGCTATAGTTGATTTAAAAGCCCGAAATATACCAGTTCTGGTGTAAGGACCTTTTTAATACGAGGTAGCTGTTTGATGTTCTCTCCGTTGTGATACTATCGAAGCCCCTTGATTTATTGAATACAAGTCGTGCTGCTTCTACTAAAATCAATGTAGTATGCTTCTTTGTCTTGTGCTGAGCGAAGATAAGATTTAGTCTCAGCTTTGATAAACTGATAGCTATATAAGATATATTTCTGGACTGCAGCTTCAGCTTTGTTCTGGATTATCTCTGGTACAAACTAATGATATGCCCTTTTGTTCAATGCCAGTGTATAATATATATGCAGAGCAGTATCTTTTGCTAAGATATACTGTATATGGCTGGTGTAGAATGTAAAGATGCTCTTAAATACTGTAGGCGGGAACTGATCGGAAGTAAAATCCTTTCGTAGGTCTATTTTGCCTACGATAAGCTGTACGGGAACTTCTTTTTCTTGTTTCTTGGCTACTCTATGAATGACTTTTACTGTAAGACTACCAGAATAATTATCTAGGTCGTTCTCTATAGACTGAGCAACTGATATAGCTCTATCTCTCTGTATTAATAGTAGGAGAATACCCTCTATCCACCGGATCGAGCTATTTAATTATAGGTGAACCGATATATTACTTAGTATAGGATACCTTCTGAGGATATATTCTACTATCAGAATATGCTCCTTTGACCAGAAAGTATATTGGGAATAGTATGCTTTATAGGTAATTAAAACTATATAGCCCCGACTCAATATCGCAGCGGACTCTTTTCTTATTATATTAGCTGCCCGATAGACAGGTCTGGAACTCAACTCCAGAATATTCAAGAGCTGTTTTGACCGCTGCGATAGAGGAAGGTGTTAAAGGAATATAGAAGTCCCAGTCTGAAAATGTACTAGTAGACCCAGGGATAAAGTATTCGAGAGCTCTCGATCCTGAAAGCACTGTATTGTGTGTTTCTATTATATTGAATAAATTCTCAGTATTAATAAAAGGTCCTATGCTCTGAAGATATCTGGAAGGTTTGATTCAGCTTTGTAGAATTAGTATTGATAGATATGACGCGTCTCTGAGTGCTATTACATCAGTAATAGGCAATATAAATGAAATATACAGAATGAGCTTATTTGGTAAGATATTAAAGCTCCCTGCTAAGTTAGTTATTATGCAAATATGTTCGTGGAGGATTGGTTGAATAAAGAGCGAAAGTTATAAATTAACTATAGGTGCTTAGTATCTGATGAAGCTAAGTTTTAGTACTAGAGCCTATAACTTGGACCGTTGACTGCAACTTGTCAGTACTTGTGTTTAGTTATGGTTTCATAGCAAAAAGACGTAGAATATTTTGGTTGAAAATGCCAGGTATTACGAGGTCAGCTTAGCTTGTCCCAAATTTTGGGTGTTTACAAAACCCTAGTCTGACTGTTTAGATTGACCCTAAGGAAATTGTTTGGTGTGATGAATGGGCATGATGTCAGGCTATTGAGAATAAATCGTTTTTAACTCTCACCGAACAGTCGTTTACAGTTAGGAGCATAACCAGCTTCCTCTTTATAAACAAATGCTCAATGTAAACTGATTCTCCACATAGTGCCATTTATTGAGAGAATGCACTGTGTACATGGTTGACCAGACTTAAGACTTGGAGCTAAAGTGCCTATCCTGGTTCTTTGTTCCGCTTTCTGGGTTCCACTTTCTAGGATTTGGCCTAGAAACAGGCACCCAACTGTCGCAGTTAATTTACACTTTACATCATCAGGAAATGGCACCATAATTGCAGTATAGGCATGTATTATACCGGGCAATATGGTCATGGTGCTGCACTAAGATACATCAATACGCCTCGGGTAAAATATATAAGGCCTCTTATTATACCAGGGATTCCTTGTCCCGTGCATGCGGCTGAGTCCTCCTTACCCCGCAACTGCAGCCTGAAGTGAGCCTCGCGACGACGATAAATCCCCCGTCCTACCAGAACATGACTTCCCTTGCACTATCAATCGTTAATTGATCTCTTTCAGACCTTGTGATACGGCTGTTACAACGCGACGGCGCAGGCAACTATAGTCTTACCCAATACCTCGTACATAAAGATGCTCCCCCGTATGCGATACTTTCCCACACGTAGGGACCAGACAAGGTAGTCTTCGCTGATATTAAAAAGGTACTGAGGGATTAGCAGTATAAATCAGGCTATAAAAAGATCGAGTTCTATTCTAATTAAGCGAGGTAAGATAGTTTGGAGTACTTTTGGGTTAATACCTACTGTATCGATAAGTCTGATAGTATCGAGCTTCAGACAGCTATTAATAGTATATTTCGATAGTATTGCGATATAAAATAATGCTATATCTATCTGCCTGATATTTCTAGCACTATAGTCTCTAGTCTACAGAGAACTGTACTACTATAGAAAGATATCTTCCGATAAAGCTAATAGTTTATATACGGTTAGACGCTATAGGAGCTTATTATACTGAAGATAGTTAAGTTTTATTCGAAGGAAGGCGTACAGCTAGGTAATAAGAGATCCTTAGAGCCTTTGATTTATAATATTATAGGTATTCCTATAAGTATACTTTACTGTATACCTTTATCTAACTTTCCTATTGCGGAACGAGAAGTATAGGTTCGCAGCTGTTAAATAATATATAAGGAGGATATAGTATATTCGCTATTGGGTATATTTGATATTTATATACCGCTTATCTATGGTAAAGGATGAAAGAAAGCATAGAACTAACTGCTTGAGGAAGTTTAGAAAGCTGTAAAAGGTAAATATATCCTGATAATTATTAGAGAACAGGCTTATTAATAAGTATAACTAGGAACCTATACAAGCGACTTCTCTATTACCTTCAGTCTATTAGATATCCCTGAAACCTAATACTTTGTTATACGAGAGAGCGAAATTACAGAGATACATAGAACACTAAACTTAGATAGAGGCCGTTGTATTATTATCCTATACAGCTTGGGCGGTATTAGCAAAATACAGCTTGCCGTAATATATATAAAGCGGTACCAGGATAAATACTCTATGATATTTTGGCTTAATATTAAAGACTAATTATCTATTCGACGGAGCTTTACTAAAGTCATAATACAGATCCTGCGATAGTATCCCGATACTAGCAGCTTGAATACTCTAGACCTGCAGCTGAACCCTGAGGAGTTAATTAAAGCTGTTAAGGTGTGGCTCAGCTTACCGGGAAACACGAGATAGCTTGTTATATATAATAATTACAATAACCCGAGACCGAGCAACTACAAAAACACGGGAGTTGATATTCTTTAATTTCTTCCGATATCATACTAAGGCTCGATTATAATCACTATACGGTTATTACAGGTTAATATAGGTTATTGTATCCATATTAAAAAGCTTGACTTAATTGATGATAGCCTTAAAATCCTCTCTACGACCTCAGGCCGAGATAGCCTGTATAATAGTAATACTCTTACAAATTACTAGGGTTTCCTAATTAATTATTACTATAGATATAGATACTAGAGCTCTTATAGAGAAGCTTAATAGCCTTCCGCTTGCCCTTGCTACGGCTGGAGTATACCTCAGGCAGGTTACAACCAGCTTCAGTAATTATCTTTACCTGTATATAAAATCGTGGGTAAGGCTTTATATAAGTACCCCAGACTTAGGATCCTATCAAGACTGTATACTCTCCTCTATATAGTAAGTCTTATACGAGTAAGTACAGGAAAAGAATATACTCGCTGCTTATTTGCTCTAATAATAGGCCTATTTTAGTAATAAAGATATATAGCTCGAACTCCTCCGGTCTTATAATAATAAGGGTCTACTGTAGATATTTAAGCTGAATAATAAGCTGAACTTCAATAGTATGATTAGTATACTGTATAACTATGGGTTTATCGAACCATATAGACTAAGCCTAGACTTGATCGAGTCGAGGGGATATAGTATTTATATATGCTTATACTCTTGGGTAATTTATATATTGAATAAGGATTGCGATAGTAGTCTGAATAGGCTTATGTTAAAATGCATAGTATTAAGGGTACTGTTATAGAATAATAATAAGTTCTGGCTGCTTTAAAGATGGCTTTTATTATATGTGATAATAACTTACGCCACAATCCAGGATAGTAATAAAGGTCTGGATTAGGCTTACTTTAACCTAGGTCTTCTTTACTCTGACCAAGGCAAGATGCAAGAGGCTGAGGAAATATATAATATATTAGAATACTAAATTCTCTAGAAATTCTTAAAACTAGATATATAAAGTACTTCTTAATTAAGGGTTAATTAAAGCTATTTAACCTATAGATATATAGCTAAATTTAATAGCTAGCCGGATTCAGTAGTTAGTACTACCTAAGAGCGGTAAGTTTATAAGCCTGCTAAAAAGGTGGGGCGGGCACGAGTATATTATATGTTTATCTATCTTTCGGGACTGGCACAGAATCTGGGCATGCGATAGCGAATTCAGGGATAGCTCTACAGAACCTTCTAGTTCCCAATTGTAGGCTGTTCCATTTGGTAGGCTATCCTATTGTAGGCTGGCCTATTAGGAAGGCTGTCCCATTATAGGCTGTCCCGTTATAGGCTGTCCTATAGTAGGCTGTCGCCCATGCATTGCTTCAAGAACAAGATCTCGACCATGCTCTTCTATATAGCTACTATTATCATCTACGGTTAGCTTCCTTTCCCCCCCTAACCTCAAACCCCCTTTTTTTTACTAGTATTATACCTCGGAGAGATTAATCTGACCGATATCAGATTTATTCTGTACCGGTAATAATACTAAAAAGGATCTTAATCCGAATTATAATATCTTATCTACTTCCTCTTATCTTAATTTATCCCCCTTATATAGTAATAATATCTAAGAACAGGAAGCTGTTCGTACTATAAAAGATAGCTTGCTTAAGCCTAATACCTTCTCTGAATATTATCTTCTGGGCTTTCCGCCTGATATCTCTGTATTTCTAATAGTCTTTAATTACTTCTATAACTATATAGCAGGAGAACTAAAATATATTAATAAGGGGGAAAGGTTTAGTTTAAATCTATAACTAAGTAAGAAAGATATATAGAGAGAGGTTAATAAATACCTCTTTAATACTATAAGACTATATATATTAAGTTTATATAAGGGTTTAGATTAGGGTATTACTTTACTAATAAATTAATTAGTATAATATATAGCCTCTATATTAATATTATCCTCTCTAACTATATAAAGATAATTCTTAATATAAACTATACTCCTGCCTCTAGTTAGATCCTAGATCTATAAAGATCTTTCTCTGAAGTCTTTAATAAGAGTAGTTTCCCTATAAGTACTAATAACCAGATCTTAGTTAAGTTTAACCTTATCTACTGCTGGTATTTAACTATTAGTATAAAAGATAAAAAATAGTCTTAGGACTTCTTCTAAAAGCTATTCCTAGACTAGGAAGTTTCTAAACTATCTCTTAAAGACTTCCTTATAGGGCTATCTAAATTAAGAGGGGAAATTATAGTTTAGAAACTGAAATACTATACTTTTAGAGGCTTAAAATATAATAGCTCTAGTTTCTTTAATATATAGGCCCTAGTAAAGCTTATTATAGAGAGTATAAATAATATTAGTAGTAAATACTCCCCTCCTTTCTATCTACCTTAGTACTATACTTATATAAACCCTATAGCTGCTTTCAGAGTATACTAAGTACCTATTATACTTAGGCTTATTATAATACTTAGTATCAGTTAGGCTTATAGCTAGTATATTAGTATACTAAATAAGCTGTATAAGTTTATAGATCTTAAACCTTATAAGAGTTTTAAGGATATTAATCCTGATCTAAAGACCTAGGAGGCTATAAAGGCCCTCTATAAAGAGCCTGATTTTATAGAAATATACCCCGGTATACTTTTTAAGTATACTAAGGAATCTATCTATCTAGGTTTAGAACTCTGCAGAGGCTTTATAATAGTTAGAGCTATCTTAAGTAATACTATTATCTTAGTTAGGGGTAATTAATTCTATATACTTATATACTTACTATTATCTCTATATCTATATTTACCCAGAATAACTATATTAGTAGTAGCTCCTTAACTAACTTAACTCTAAATAGGACTAGATACTTATTATAATAATAAACTAGGGATTTAATATTATTAAGCTAGATAAACTGTAAGATAAGCTTATTTATAGCAGTAAGATATACTATCTGCTTAATATTACCTTCCCTAAGTTCTATAAAGATAACTCTATTTAGAAACTGTTTCCTTTTACTACTCCCAGTAAGATAAAATATATCTTTAAGAAGTAAGGGGTTATAGGGAAGTATAATTTCTTAAGCCTGCTATAGAATAAATCTCTTAATAATAAGATATCTGAATTTAAGATAAATAAAGTACTTATATTAGAGGTATAATATTAAGTAGAATATAGTAGGTACTATACTTATTAGTACTTAAAGGATTATATACTATATATAGAACTAAGGAATAAGAATTACTTACTTAATTAAAAGGTATTAAAAGAAAAATAAGGATAGATATAGTAGTATTATAACCCTGTACAGTCTATAACTCCTCTAGCTTATATATCTTATTCTATATATATCCTATTAACTATTCTATTTCTACTTATTTATATTTATAATCTTTATCTTCTTTATTAATAGACTTCTTCTTCTGCTCTCTATATCTCCTTATACTTAAAGTACTATATAATACCTACTCTTAATCTGTATCTCGAATAATATTAAAGTAGCTTAGGATATTATCCTATATCTTATAGCTTCTGCTATATTAAAGAGATATTTAATATTTAATATTAGGTATTTAATACTAATTATTAAGTACTTAAATCTAATTAATACAGGGTTCTTATATAATATACTACTCTATAGCTATTAAGTAAAGATAGAGGTATTAGAAGAGAGTAAGGAAAATAGCTATAATACCTTACCAGTTACCCTGTATATAAGTAAGCCTCTATATCTAGTAAAATATAATCAGATTTATTTCTAGAGAACCGCTGAGGGTTTATTTCTTATTTATAAGCTATTATTCTAATTAGTAACTCTATATTCTTAGTTTATTTACCTAGGGTTCTAATAGCAGCTTATAATCCTAAGGTATTATTTCTACTTTGAATTAAAATATATTTATTTTTAAGTATATTTCTATAACTATTACTATAGGCTGTTTATAAGTAAAGCTTATATCTTAATCTACTATTCTAATATAATATATAAGAGCAAGTTATCCTAACCTTTACTGTACAGGGTAATAAGCTATAATAGATCTCAGATATAGCTCTAAAAGTAGAGATACTTATCTGCTATATACAGGTATAAGCGATATCCTTTTTAATACTTTAGGATAACTTTATTTCAGGGGCTATAGTAAAAAATATAAAACAGGCTTTATTTCTAAGCCTCTATTATATATATTATTAGTATATACTTTATATATTATTAATATTTCCTAAATTATACTAATAAAAGAGTAATAACCTAACCTATACTATATTATTAGACCCTAATACTTATCTCAGTCTAGCCTATTTATTTTCCTCTCTTTCTTAGGGTATAGATAAGGATAGTATAGATAGTATACTCTTTTTATTACTCTATCTATTCCTTTATATTAATATCTACTCTTTATATTAACTTAAATCTATTCTTACTATTACTTATAATATTTTATTAAGATAAACTAATCTGCTAATAGGCTGGTAAGCCTTATCTATATATTAAAATACTACCCTGTTTTAAACTACTTCTACCCTTGATATATAATATTCCCTTATAGCAGGATAAGAAGTTCTATTAATAAGTCCTTCTATAGATCTAAAAGATTAACTACTACTTTTATAGAGGAAAATAGATTAGAATTAGAGCTATAGAATACTTATTAGAAACTAGAGATTAGTACTTATATTAGAAAAGATAACCCTATCTTAGTTCTAATATAAGGATATATAGAATACTCTTTATATAGAGAATATAATAAACTGAATATAGGATAACTACTTCTAGAAGCTCTAAAAAGTAAACCCAGATAACTTAGAGCTATTAATCTTCCTTTTACTCTAGATATAATCTATAAATAATAACCAGCTTCTCTCAGTACTAATATCTTATTAATACTACTCTTTATCTATAAATTTCTTATACTACTATATAATACTATTATATATATCTCTATACAGGCTCAGTCTAATAAGGTATTTCCAAATAGTACTAGCTATATATAGAGATATTAGAGAATTTTAAAAGGGCTAATACTATAAAGTCGGGAGATATAGAGAGATTTAAAAGAGTAACTATCGAAGAGAATTAGCTTCTGGATAATACTAGTAATTTAGCAAGGGATATTTATAGTAAGATCTACCTAATATACTCAGTAGAGATACCTTACTAAGTTATTACTTAAGGAGGATAGAGCTGCTTATTTAGATATTTAAGAAATATTTATTTACCTATTATAGTAATTTTATTAATCTTTCTTAATTACTGATTTATTTCCTAATTAATACTATATAAAGTATAATATTAACTTAAAGTTTATATTTCTATCTAACTTCGGGTTTAAGTATAGTCTGCTTTCCTGAATAACTGCTTAGAAGATTATATAAATAAATAGTAAGCCTCCCTAGACTCTTTAGTAGGCTAGCTATTATAAATTCTAACCTGGTTATAATTAGCAGTTAATACTTTAGCCTGCTTTATAGATAGTAGCTTTTAAAAGGGTACTTTTCTCTATTTCTAGAACTCTAATATTTAATAGTAGTCCAGATTACTCTACTCTATATTATTAGCTAGTATATAATACTAGTTAAAGCTTATATATAGTTAAACCCCAGGTAATACTAGTTTATTATATTATAGGCTTTAGGAAACTAATCTTAGCTTAGATCTAGGCAGGGTATAACTAAATTAAGCTATATAGGAATTTACTATTAGACCTCTTGCTCTATAATATATACTAACCTTAGACCCTTAGATACCGGTATATATAAGTAATCTGTCTTATAATAATAATACTAAAATAGGATAGTAGCTGCCTATAAGGAAGGATTAACCTATATATATAATCTTACTAAGTCTAAATAGTTATTACCTATTAACTAAAATTCCAAGCCTTAATACTAGAGTATTATTATATTAAGCTAAGGTAGTTAGCTATATAAATTCTAAGGAAGTTAATTCTAGATATTAGTATCTTAGTAATAGATTTTAATAACTATTAAGCAGTTAGATATCCAGGTATTAGACCTAATAGTATTATTCAGGAGCACTATTATAACAGTTTAGCAAGCTTACTATCTACTAGTTAGTAAATATCCTATTTACTATATTATTAACTAACCTCTGTTATTTCCTACTTTTAAATCTATATTCTTATTATATATATTTCACTATTATATAGGTTTAATACTATACAGACTACTATAGTTTTACTAAGTATTACTATAAAGATAAATTAAGTAAGTATAGACTAACCTTATATTAGAAGGGTAAATTCTTATAAGACTTTAAACCTAATTTAGAGTATTAATATATTAGCTCTTCTCCCTTTATAAAAGGATTAAATAATTTTCTATAACTTTAAGTAGGTACTATAGGCCTGGAATCCAGACCTTAGAGTATACTGAGGCCTTCTATAGTACTACTAAGGAAGAAAGAGGTATCTAGATCTCAGATAATCTTACTAAAGCTTAGTTCCAGAAGATAAGAAAGTTATAGTAAGAAGAGAATTCAAACAGGGTATCTTCTAATATAATAATACTATTATATTATTTAATCTTCTAAGTTCTATATTATATAATATTATTATTATTACAGTAGGATAAAGATTACTATACTATTAAGAGTCTATAGACTCTACTATAATAACTCTATATAGGAACACTAGGAAATTATCAGAGCTTAGAGAGTAATCTTTAAAGTTTAAAGCCAGTTTATATAATTATTATATATAAGTCTAGTCTTACTAAGTAGATAGTTAATACCTATTTTTTATTTATTTTAATATATTATAGGAAGTTTCTCCCTTAATTTCCCTTAGGTTAAAGCTCCCTACTAACTATTATTAGAAGATATCTAAAGGGATAGGTTATTACAGAGGATATATATAATAGATATACTCTTATTATCAGGCTTCTTAGTAAGCCTATTAAGTTCAGTAATAGTATTATTAAAAGTATAACTTATAAGATATTAGATATAATTATATAAGTTCAGAATTTTATAGTAGAAGACTGAGATATTAAAAGCTAAGCTTAGTTATAACTAATAAGTAGCTATAAACTCAGTCTGTATAAAATCAGTAGTAATCTTAGAAGAAATATAGAATTTTCAGTTAATACCCTTAGATAATTTAAAGCCTAGTAACAGACTTAGAACCTATCTTATAGGTATTATAGGCTGAACTAACTATAGCTATATACTTTTTATCCGATATAAACTCAGCTAAGTAATAGCTATAATTACCCTTCCTAAAAACAGAGTAAGTTAGCTTAAATACTTTTAAGAAGTAAAGACTAGTAAAGTAGATATATATTATATAATATAAGACCTTTAAGTTAATAGTACTAGTATTAGGAATTAAGCTCCTATCTAGCAGATCTAAAATATTACTATAGATTATCTTAAGTTTATTCTTAATCTTTTTATAGTATCTACAGGTAGTAGTAATATACTTCTTATTAACCCTTAGCTGTTTCTATTATTTAATTAATAAGATAGTATATAAGCTGGAATAGTAAGTACAGACTATTCTTAAATAAGTAATAGTAAGAAGACTCCGCTTATTAATACTAAGCTTACTATCTGTACTAATAACTTCCTTCAGGTAGAGGACTATATTATTATAATACTCAGCCTTCTTATAGAGATAAGCAAGGAAAGAATAGTTACTACTATAAAGTTAGTACTATAGTCCTGATAAGGGAGATTAAGTAGCTAAACTTATTATACTTTATAATTCCTTAGGCTAAATCTTAAGGTTACTGGGATAGATAAACTATATAATTTAAATTAGAATAATCTTAGGATTATATATATAGTAATAAGGTATAGTAGGAAGAAGCCTAGGGTATATAATAGAAAACAGAAGGTAGTTTTATTATCTATTAACTCCTAAGTATAGTAGATCAGTCTTAAGTTTATTAGGTAGAAAATAAGTTAATAGTTTAGCCTAAAGAGTATAATTACTAGGTAATAATAACCTTAAAACTTAACTACTATACCTAGTATATATAGATTTAGCAGTAAGGAATATATTAAACTAGTAAGGAATATAGTAATTATAGGTTCTTTATTAAGGCTATATATAGGGTATAGGGAAAAGTATACTCCTGATGGATTATATATAACCCGGATCTATTAGAAGTATAATTAGTAATAACCTATATAGATCTAAAATAATATAGCCTATTCTCCTTATAATAAAGGTAGTATATATAAATAAATCTTACCTATTTCTTATACTAGGTATTTGAAAATTATCTGGCAGTTATTATTTATATTTCTTACTTAAGTAATTTTTATTATTATTACAGAGCCTAAATAATTATATTTTTACTTCTTTTTAATTTATATTATAGGTCTCTTTACCTATATATCCTAATCGGGATATATATCTAATTAATAGTCTTTAAATATCTACTTGGATTATCAGTTCTATACCAGGACTTAGTATAGTAGCTTAACTATATTATAGATTAATAGTTCGGGATTTTATTTTAGTAGGAATTAGATTCTAACTTAGAAATACTTTTATAATATAATAAATAGATAGTAAAGAGGTTAAAGGACTAATTAAAACTATCTACTTTATCTTTAACTAAGTTATTATATATCTGCTCCCTGTTTTTTACTATAGTCTGGAGAGGGGTAATAGTCCCTATTATCCCCTAGAGTAGCTATAAGACTAGAGCTTAAACTAAAGTTAGTATCAGAGTTACAGTTAGTAACCAGGTCTTACTCAGGGCTGGTAAGAAGTAATAAATAGCAGTAGTAGAGGTATAGCTCCAGCTCTACTGAGTCAAACTTTATACTTTCAGTAATTATCAGTATTATAGGGATAGGTTCTAGTAAGTATTACTTAGGATAAATAGATATCTCCAGAAAGTTTTAATTATATCCTAATCTAGGATTATATTAGATAAATTTTTCTACTATTAGTAGGCTAGTTTAACTATATAGAACTACTTTAGCTTAAAAGTTCAGCTAGTATTATAGTTTATCCCTAGAATAAAAAGACTATACCCCCCCCCCTCTATATATTACTTACTAATAGATAATTAAATAAATAGTTAGGAAGATAATTTAGTATATAATAGATACTATAAGGACTATAATTAAAGTAATAAGGAAATTTTCTTTTAACTTCCTAAAGATAGGCCTATCTCTCTTATAGGCTGTAATACTAAGATAGATAGTATTTATTACTAATACTACTATAGTAATAATACTAATTAGAAGCCTATATCTAAAGATAATCTTAAGATTCCTTAAGAACTAATTTTATAAGAGGCTTAGAGATAAACTTAGTATAATTATTATAAGAAAGAATACTAGTATAGCCTAGATAACTATATTTAATATTCAGAAGTAAATATAGTATAATAGAATCTTCTTAGTTCTAGTATTACTAGTCTATTATATATATTAAACTATATTACTACTAATATATAGAGAGCTCTATCCTATAAACTCAGTTTTTCTAATCTATAGTTATAAATATAGATTCTACTAGTAGAAAGTTAAGTACTATAAGCTATAAAGATACCCAGTTAAAACCTATAAATTATTAGTAAGACTATTAGAAGAATAAAGAATTAAAGAGGTATTATTCTGCAGAGTAATTTCTTTTATATAGATAAGTACTAGTTAATTATCTTTACTGGAGATATATAATTATAATAAGTTTATAGATAGAAATAAATATTTAGATATAATTTCCTTAAATATCTAATAAGGAAGTATAAAAGGGGAAAAGGAAATAAGGGGATATATTATCTATATATATAAAATAGATATATAGTATAGATAGGATTAACTAATTAGTATAAGGTAATTACTTTCTATAAGGTCTGGGTATATCTAGAACTACTGTAGTATAACTAAAATAACTCTTCTATTAGTATTTAAGTAGATTATAGAGTACTAAGGAAATAGATCTTTCTATATTAAAATATATAAGACCTACTGAAAGGTAGTAGGTACTATAGTAGCTATAGGTTATACCTTCTGATTCTTAATAAGAAGACTGCAGAATAGAGAATTTAGAATATTTCTATTACTAACTTCCTATATTATAGAATTTTTAGAAAGAGATATAATCTAAAACCCTGCCCTGATTACTTAATCTTATTATTATAGATACTATTCTTCGCTAATTAAAAACTATATATCCTTTTATAAGTATAACCTTAATATTAATACTTTATACTTTAAACCTATAGCTCCTTACTAGAGGCTGTTCTATTATAAGTAAGGCTATAGCTATTTAAACTGCTAAGTATAGTAGTATTACTACCTCTTCCTAGTCCTTCTCTAGCTAGCTTAAGACTAGTAGAGCTAAAATAGATATAAACTATAACTAAAAGGCTAAGACTGCTGAGTTATTAGTTCTCCAGGGATATAATAAAGGTAAGAGATACTTTACCCTCTATTTCTATCCTCTAGCTATATTAACTCGAAATTTATAGGCCTGCTCCTCCCTCCTAGTATATTTTATTATACCTATAAGATATCTCCTCTAACCTCCTCTAATATTTATAATTTAACCTCTAACTTTAATTATAATACCTTTTATAATTATAAACTAGATAAGAAGTATAGAGATAAGTTATACTACTACTTTAATAATATTAATTATCTTACTAAGGAATTCCTATATATCTATATATTATATAAGAAGGAGTAAGTTACTATATAGTATATAAATAACTATCTGGAAATAGAATAAAATCTCTAAATCCTTAAGACTATATATTAAACTCTAGAAGAATATAGTACTAGTACTAATAGTACTAGGAATATTTCTAGATATAATAAATATACTATTAAACTGAAGGGATTACTAGCTAAACTATATACTAAGAAGTTAGCTTTTCTATTTAGCTCCTATTATATAGCTAATAATATAATACTTAAAACTCTCGGGAGTAAAATACCTAACTATATTATCCTCTCTAATAGCTTAAACTATATATCTATAATATAGAGTATCTAATACTCTGGAACTAAAAAGATTATATTTAAGTATAATAATATTACTAAATTAGAGATAAAGCTTATATCCCTACTCCTATATATATTTAAAATTATTATATTTGAGTTAGTATATAGTATATATAGTTTAATCAGATTAATTAAGGCTATCTATAATCTTATTAATAAGTATAGTACTATTACTTTCCTTAATAAGGTATATATAGTAGGTATATACAGACTGAATAGAGCTAGTATAGTAGAGTATCTAGACTAGGAGGTATATTATAAGGGGATACCCTATAGTACTATTATAGACTAAGTTAATATTATTATAGATACTCTGGGTAAGGTATATAGTTATATAGGTAGTTATATTACTAGTAGTACTAAGCTTATTAATATAATTTACTTATTAGCCCCTAGCTTTATCTTTATAATCTCTCTCCCTCTAGCTATAATAGCTAGTACTAAAGTCTTAATTAAGTACTAGATAGAGTATAATAATAACTAAAAGCTATAGTAGCTATATACCTATACTATTAAGAAGGAGCTTAATAACTAAGATATTCCAGTTATCCCTAACCCCTTTTATATTATACTATTTCTTATAGGAAATACTAAACTAATAAAGTTAGCCTTTAATATACTTCTATAGAACTACAGTATCTATATCTAATCTATTAATTACTCTACTATCCCTATTAGCTAGGAATATCTGAGAATTACCCCTATATTAGGCTATATTAAGTAGTATTATAGTAAGCTAGCTGAGGTATTAGATAAGATCTAGACCTAGCTTAGAATTAAGTATACCTCTAATTAGGCTATTAAGGGTAGCTTTATTAGAGTAGATAAGTTAAAGGTATAAGAGGAGCTATCTCTATAGAATAATAAGTAGTTTAAATTAAACAGGCTACTAGGGAGATTATAGTAACTAGTAGTATATAGAGTATAAATAAGGTACTTTTAGAGCAGGATAAGCTATATAGGGCTATTAGTTATATTACTATAATCTAAGATAGTAATAGATTTACTTCCTCTCTATCTTTATAGAATTCTATAAATATTATTATTATATAAAATAATAGTTATATTAAAATCTAGATATATAAATAATAAGTAAGTATATATATATATCTATCTCTACTTACTTTTATATAAGTACTAAACTTATATAAGATTAGAGCTTATCTCTTTATCTTTACTTTAGATATTCTACTTATCTCTATTAATCCTTTAAATAAATATAAATAGCTTAGATAAATTTAATATTTTTATATCTTTTCCCCTTATATCTTTTTCTTACTTTATCTAGTATTTTATTACTACTACTATTATTATAGAGTAAATATAGAAGTATCTAGCTACTAAATTAAGTATATTATCTATCTAGTTAAGTATATTATCTATCTGATTAAGTATATTATTTATAATATTTCTTAATAGCTAAAGTACTAATTAAAGATAGTATATTTTATTATTATTTAGTAACTACTATAAGATTTTTAGGAATAGTAAAAGAGAACCTATTATCTAAGATATATACTTTTCTATTAATCCCTAAAGAACTCTATCTTTCTAATATAATAGATACAGACTCAGATTAATTATATTTATTATCTCTAAACCTTATCCTGTACCTCTACTGTATTACAGGGCTCTTTAAGTCTACAGAGGTACAGGAGCTAGTAGGTATAGCGAATATATATATACTGTTATTCATCCTAATAATATCTTTCCCTGGTTAAGGAAATATTATATCTTTTTTTACTTTAAGGGACCAGTATCCAATTAGGCGGCTGATCCGCCGAGTGAACAAGTTTCAACGAGCTAGTGAACGTGATATAATTAACAAGCTAATAACAGAAAATGATTTACTTCGTAACCTGATCACTGCTTACCAGAAAGACTGGTTACAGGTTTTAGACCTTTTAGTAAAAGCGATCAAAGGGGTAAGGAGGCTGCAAAATATACTGGATCGATGTATCAATATAGAAATAGCAGCTGAGCATGCTCAGCTTGCGAGTTAGGGGGGTTAGGGAGAAATATACCCTGCCTTTAGAAAGCTATCCTTGAGGCTGGATAGAAATTATACTATTAGTATTACCTGATTATATTTTCAAGCTAAACCCTGTATTCTCTATTTAAGAAATTTTTATAGTATATTTCCAGAAGCCTACTTTAGTTTACTAATTATTTATAAAGTACAGCCCTAAAATACAGCCCCTGTTCTTCGCTACAGGATTGATTAAAAGTTATTAGATTTATATTAGTAATATCTATCGCTTTTCCACTGATGTTGCCGATTGCTGACCACTGTTTCTTAACGATCTTTATTGCTCGGTCCTTTTAATATAGAAATAAGGCTTATACTGCTCTCGATCTGTATCTCGAATAATATTAAGGTAGCTTAGGATATTATCCCAAGTCTTATTACTTCTACTGTATTTAAGAGATATTTAATATTTAATATTAGGTATTTAATATTAATTATTAAGTATCTAAATCTAATTAATTTAATATCTAAGTAAGTTATATAACTTAGATTATTTATAGTAAAATTAAGATAAATATATAATAGGAATAAAATCTTAAAATTAGGAGCTTTAATAAGCTGTTTAAAGTAATAAGTAATTAATAAGATCTTTATATTTTATCTACTCAGGTAATTAACTCCTCTTCTTATTATATCTAATATAGTTCTTTAGGGTATAAGTAGGTTATAAATAGATATTTTAATAAATTATTTAAAATAAAGTTTAGTAGCCTCTGTATTTATATATAGTATAGGGAAAACCTAGGTGAAAATAAAAAAGAAAAAAAAACTATATAAGATAATTTTAGAGCTTTATTCTTATACTTAATAGCTCTATATTTTTAATCAGCCCTTTAAGAATATAAGAAAGGAATTCTAGGTTATATTAGTTAATGAGGTGGCCCAAATAACTTGCCAAGACCCAAACTTACTTGCACGACCCATGGCCAGTAGTGGAGCATTCTGGTCCTACCTCTTAAGATCCAAGCCCAACGCTGAACAGCGGATTCTTATTAATAGCAGCGTCGCCCTCCCAGTAAGGACCAACTTGGTAATGATTAACAGAGACTGTATAAGTGCCAGCGGGCACCTTATCGGGGAAGGTATACTACTCAGTGCTTCCGGTGCCTCTGGAGACCTCTCCAGACCTATCGAAATCCTCACCAGCAGATAGAGTTCCTATAATATTCCAGGAAAAAGGATAATTTCTTATATAATACCAGGTACTACCCTAGTAGTATTAACCCTCTTATTACTTTATAATAGTAAGAGTTAAAGCGGAATATTAGATAAAGTAGAATTAAAGCTCAGTATATATCTACTTACTATTACTATACTAGTTATACTAATTACTATAGTTAGAAATAGCTATCTTAGTAGTAGTAGCAGATAACTTACTTATAGTAATATTAGTTTACTTAGTATTAGATTACCTATTAGTTAGGATTATAGTAATACTTTTATCCAGAGGAGTAGTCTTTATATAAGCTACTAAAAGGAGAGTAGGAAGTAATATAGAAAGCTATATAATAAATACTTCGGAAAGCCTAAGAGAAGTAGAGTAGATATAAGAAAAAGAGTAAAGGTATTAAGTACTCTATACTATAAAGATTAGAGTAGTTTCTAGTAAACTAGATAAGAGTATAGAACTTTATAATCTATAAGGAGGAAGATATAGGATAGAATTTTATAGTAAACTATATATCCCTAAGATAGAATAAAAAGTAATATTCTATATAACTACTGGATATCTTCCCCCTAAAGTTAAATAAAATACTTATCCTTATATAAGTAATATACTATAGCCTAGGTATTTAATAAAACTAAGAGGAATAGGCCTAGTAATTATAAATAGTTATAATAACTATATAATTATAGTATTCTTATTACTACTAGAAATAGCTATTATTATAGCAGTAGATAGAGACTATAAGTTAAATAGCTTAGATTTAGGAAAACTATTAATAGGAAGACTATCTTAATAACTATAGTTTTAAAAAGATTTATAAATCTATAGATAGTACTAAACTAAAATTATTATTTCAGTAGAGTATAATATAGTTAGAAATAGAGAAATATAGATCTACTACTTTATATTAATCTAATATAATCCCTTATTTATAAGGGTATAATATATTTATAGTATTAAAGTTATATTATAAACAGATATCTTATAGATAATAAGATCTCTTTCGGAAGATAGTTTCTTTAGCTGAGAAGATACTTCTACAGGGGACTATCTATTAGAACTTAAATAGAGAGAGTTCCCTTATTTTACAGAATATAAATTAGATTTTAATACTAACTTTATATTCTACCTAGTAAGTTTATTAGTACTTACTATATTTATATATATAACTGATATTTCTTAGTATATTTAGCCTATACTGGAAACTTATTTAATTAAAGTATACTTAGGTATTAGATTAGGTATAAGGTATATATTTATTATATTAAATACTTTATATAAGATAGATATAAAGTAGGATAGTAGGTTATTATAGTATATATATAGTCTAAAGGGTTATAGATTAATTACTATACTAGTTTACCTTTATATAACTTTAAAATAATAAGAGGTTTAAGATCAGTATATAAGGTTTAGCCTGAAGATCTTTATCCTACTAGATATAAACTAGAAGTAAAGAGCTTTATAAGTAGAGGCTTATAAGTTAATTAAAGTTAAAGTTAGTAGAGCTAGTAGTAGAAATAAGTCTAAGGGGATTACCTCGGAGGGTACTAAAGAATAGAATAGATTAGAAACCTAAAGACTTTAAGAGAGAAAAGAAGTATAAGACTTTAAAGGGAGCTATATATAGATATCTAAATAAGCTACTTTAAAATAGTCTTATAACTTATAGAGCCTAGATTTACCAGGGTAGAGGAAAAGTAGTTAAAAGTTTATAAATACTTATTAAGGGGAATTTATTAGTATATAGAGGTATTAATAGAAGAGGGAAATAACTCTATCTTAGTTAGTAATCTAGATAATCTAGTTCCTAGGATTATTAGGATTACTTATAAGGGTAATAACCTAGTATATAATTAGTAGAAAAAGATAGGGTATATCTTAGGCTCCTAAAGGTATATATAATATATATATACTTATATTAAGATATATTTCTTAAGTATAGTATAAATTCCTCTAACTCATAACTTATAATATTTTATAATCCTTATTTATAGGTAATTATAGTTCTCTTAATTTATTCTAATACTTATCTACTAATTAAAATACTATTATCTAATCCTAGTTCTTTTATAATAGATCAGGCTCTAGTTATTAATAGCTTTATAATTATTAAGTCTATACTCCTATTTAATTTTACTATAAATAGGTAGGATAAAGATAGATAAAGATAAGAGATATTTATTTTAATAAATAGATATAAAACTGCTAATTATTTCTAGTAAATATATAAAAATAATAAGTACTCTTTAGACTTATAAATTCCTATATAGAGCTTAAAAGATAGTATAGAGTAAAAATAGAATTAAATATATAAAAGCTTATATTAAGAAAGCTATAGCTTATAACCTATAAACTATAAATATAAACCTATTTATCCCTACTACTAATAATAACCCGGATTAGGTAAGTCTGCTCTTATAGCAGGCTTAAGAAGTTATACTTCCCTATAACCCCTTACTTCTTAAAGATATACTTTATCTTATTAGAAGAGGTAAAAGAAAATAGCTTCCAGATTAAGTTATTCTTATAGAAACCAGGGAAAGTAATATCCAGTAGATAGTATATCTTACTATTATAAGTAAGCTTATCCTATAGCTTATCTACTTTAATAATATTAAACCCCTAATTTATTATTATAATAAGTATCTAGTTCTATTTAAAGTAAAGTTAAGAGTTAGTTAAAGTACTATTAATATAGCTATTTCTAAATAAATATAAATATAAGAGGAGAGGGAGAAGGGGTAAGTATATAAGTATATAAAATTAATTATCCCTAATTAAGGTAATAGTATTACTAAAGATAGCTCTAACTATTATAAAGCCCCTATAGAGTTCTAAACCAGGATATAAAGGTTTCTTAGTACTCTTAAAAAAAAGACCGGGGTATATTTCTATAAAATCAGGCTTCTTATAGAGAGCTTTTATAGCTTTCTAGATCTTCAGATTAAGGTTAATATCCTTAAAACTCTTATAAGGTTTAAGGTTTATAAACTTATATAGCTTATTTAGTATACTAATATACTAGCTATAAGCCTGATTAATACTAAGTATTATAATAAACTTAAGTATAATAGGTACTTAGTATACTCTGAAAGTAGCTATAGGATTTTATATAAATAGAATATTTAGTAGGTAGAAAGAAGGGGGGTATTTACTACTAATATTATATATACTCTCTATAATAAGCTTTACCAGGATCTTAGTTCTGAAGAAGCTAGAGCTATTATACTCTAAGCTAGGAAAAGTATAGACCTTTAGTTTCTAAATTATAATCTTATTCCTCTAGTTAGAGAGCTCTTTTAGGAAGTCTGGAAGAGATAGTTTAGAAATATCCTAGTCTAGGAATAGCTTTTAAAAGAAATCCTATATCTATTTCTTATCTCTTATACTAATAGTAGGGTACTAGCAGTAGATAAGGTTAAACTTAATAGAGATCTAGTTACTAGTACTTAGAGAGGAACTACTCTTATTAAAGGTTTTAAAGTAGGGCTTTTAAGGATCTAGAGCCTAGTTAGAGTTAGAGGTATAGTTTATATTAAGGATTATATTAAGATAGTTAGAGAGGATAATATTAATATAGAGACTATATATTATACTAGTAAGCTTATTAGTAAGATAGTACTCTTAATACTAACCCTATATAGGCTTAGGATATATATAGTTTTATAGTATTAAAGAGATATTTATTAACCTCTCTCTTAGTATCTTCCTTACTCAGCTGTAGATTTAGACTGAACCTTTCCCCCTTATTAATATATTTTAGTTCTTCTGCTATATAGTTATAGAAGTAATTAAAGACTATTAGAAATATAGAGATACTGAGCAGAAAGCCCAGAAGATAATATTCAGAGAAGGTATCAGGCTTAAGTAAGCTATCTTTTATAGTATAAATAGCTTTCTATTCTTAGATATTATTACTATATAAGGGGGATAAATTAAGATAAGAAGAAGTAGATAAAATTTTATAATTCAGATTAGGATTTTTTTCAGTAGTATTACTAGTATAGAATATATCTAATATCAGTTAGATTAATCTTTCCCTGGTATAATACTAATAAAAAAAAGGAGTTTAAAGAGGGGGGGGAGTTAGAGGAAGGAACCTAACTGTAGATAATAATAGTAGCTATATAGAAGAGTATACTTAAGATCTTATTTAGGTATTCTTTTAGTAGTCCCTAATAAGCTAGCAGTTCTATTAAGTATTAGCTCTAGTAAAGATTTATTAATTTACTACTTAAGTACAAACTATTAAATACTTCTCCTGGATCCAGATATAGCCTCCCAGGGGTTAGTAGAGTAATACTTTTTATATATAGTATACCTACTATTCCGAGTTTTATATATAGGGGGTTCTAGCAGCTTAATATAATTAGCTAATAGATTATATACTAGAAAGTTCTATTATAATAATAATTATATATTATTTAATCTATTAGTAGTATAATACTTATACTTATTACCTAGATATAATAATAGCAGATATTATAAACTATTCTATAATTCCTTAACTAGGATTCCTATAAGCTTAGTTTATATATCTAAGCTATTAGATAATAAAATTATAAGCTAAATAATATACTCTATCTGGATTTTAATTTTTTATTAGTAAACTATCCCTTCCTACTTCTAAGTAAATAGAATACCTATTAAATACTTATTATTATTAATACCCCCTTTTAAAACCTTAGTATAAGTAATATTAATAAGGATTCTAATATCCTTATTAATCCTAAGGGTCTAACTCTATATATTCTGAAGGAGGTCTTTATTATTTTATAGAAAGTTAACTATATCTTCTAGCAGTAAGCCCTAATTAGTAGATACCCTGTAATTAGCAGTCTTAATTAGCTTATCTTAATTACTAAAGTTACTAAGGATCAAGTTAAAGTAATTAAGTACTTTAGAGAGAAGTAGCTCGGATTTCTCAGTTAAGTTAAAGCTAATATAAGACTTAACTAAATTATAGAATTTCTTAAGGTTAGGGAAGATAGATATATTTTAATAATAGGTTTTTTCTTTTTAGATAGGTAGATAGGTACTACTATATATAAAGATACTATAAAGCCTAAGAAGGATATTAGGTATAGATAAGGTAGTAGAATCTATTAGATATTCTGGAGAAATCAGAGCAGGCTCTAGAGTTATAATTTATACTGTAATTTATATTAATATATATAGTTAGTAGTTATATTAGGGAAAGCAGTAGAAAGGTAGCAGGTCTTCTTAAGTTATACTTTTAGTTATTTCAGACTCTAAAGTTTAGAGACTAGATACCTAAGAAACACCCTAGTAGCTCTGTAATAAAACCCTATTAGAGCTAGACGCTATAGTTTAAGCAGTTAAGATAAAGAAAGTTTTATATAAAAGTAGTGATATTATATCTATCCTTAATAATTAATAAAGTTTATATCTAAAAACAGATATCCTTCTTAATTATACTTTTAAATATTCCAGAGCTTCTTAAAGTTTTAAGAGTCTAGATACTGAAATATATATATAGAAGGTTAATATAGCTCTTTAATATAAGCCTAATAGAGCTATAGGCAATAGTATAATTAGTTAAGCTACTAGGAATACTAGAGCTATAAGTACTTAAATTCTGTTTAAATATTTATAATAAAGTAATATTATACCTAGCTCTATAAACAGATAGAGTTTAAATATAAATCTATATATCCGTTTTAAGTCAGGCTTTCTTAACTATATAAAGAAAGATATTAAGATAACCCTTTATAAAGACTGTATTACCTATAAGAATCTGGACTAAAGATAAACTAATCTTAATACTATATAGAGGGTAACTATATAAGAATAAGGCAGGTAATATAGTAATATTATAAATAGACCTATCTGGTATATAATAACCGCTATAAGCTACTGGAACCCAGCTATTTATAGCCCAGCTAGCTATATTGAGAAAACCTAATATTATTACTTAAGCAGTATAAACAGGCTCAGAGAAGTATAGCTATAACTAAGTCTAATTTAGTCCAGTCTGGGTAATAAGCTAGACCTGGTTAGAGCTTAGAATAATTAAGTTATTATTAATTTTATCTATATAGTTTTTATTAAGCGGTATATATATAGCAGAAGTATAAGGATATAAAACGGTTAGGTATACTATAGTATATATTCCTATAATTCTCAGAAGATATTATTACAGTAGGTAATTATACGGTTAATAGACTTACTCAGGTAGTAGACTTCTATTATTTAAGTTAGTTTATTAAAGTAAGCTCTCCCTGGCTTAATAGCAGCTTCCTTCTATACTAAGAAAGAGTAATCCTATAGTAGTAATATACTTCGCTTAATATTTATACCTACTTTATAGTCTTCCTTAGGTATAATAAGATTAGGAACTATATAATACTAATAAGGAAGGGCTATATAGATTAAGACTGGAGTTATATCTAGTTATATTACTTTATATTCTAGTATATTTTATATTCCTATCTATAAGTTTAGAACTATCCTCTAATTCAGATTTATAAAGTTAATATACAGGTAGTCTGAATATACTATAGTACTGAAGTAGTACTTCCAGTAGCTAAAAATATCTTACTAGGTGTTTATATAAGTAACTTAATTACTATATACCTTAATAATAAAGGAATAGTAATTTTTAATTAATTTATATCTATATCTATTTAGTATTTACTCCTTCTCTATCTCTTAACCCCCCCTATCTCTTATCTTTATCTTACTCTATCTCTACTATCCCCTTACTCTTACTCTTATTACTCTTGCTCTTATTGCTCTTACTCTTATTACTCTTACTCTTATTGCTCTTGCTCTTATTGCTCTTGCTCTTATTACTCTTGCTCTTATTACTCTTGCTCTTATTGCTCTTGTCTCTTCTCTCTCTTCTCTATTATCTCTGTTATCTCTGTTATCTCTATTATCTCTATCATCTCTATTATCTCTACTGTCTCTGTTATCTCTACTATCTCTATTATCTCTAACCCTAAAGGATATAGTTAAAGTATTATAGTTAGAGGAGTAACTACTGGAACCTATAGTATTCCTAGATACAGTACAGAGAGTATATATCCTTACTAATAATAATACCCTAATAGTCCTCAGTTTAGTATCTAATTTATTAATCTGCCTTTAATCCTATAGCTAATTTACCAGGATTATATATACCGGTCAGTTATACTAGCTCGGTATTATAAGGCTTATTTATAGTAGTTAATACTAAAACCTCAGCTATAAGATATAAGGAATAGTCTTTATAAGGGACTACGCTTAACTATTAATAGTAAAGTAACTTTTTAACTAGAGTTTATCTGAGGGATATATAATAGTAGCTATATACCGGGCTCGTATAGTAATAATAGATTTGGAATTTAAAGAGTAGAGAGATTATATAAACCCAGTAAAACCCAGCTAGTTATACTTTTACCCCTCAGGAGGATAATCTTATTATTAAATTAAAGGAAGAGCAGTAGCTTTCTTAATCGGAGGTATTTATAAATAATTTAGTAATAAATTCCTATAATAACTAACTTAGATAAGCCTTTAAGTATATTACTCTATAAAACTCAAGATAAGTAGTAAACAGGCTATAAGGAAGTCTAGTAGGAGTTAGATAATAAAATAGATTTTATATTAAGAATTTAAAATACTTAATAGGTATTTCCTAGGTAAATTATACTTTTTAATATATACTAAAGCTAAAATATTAATATCTATCTTCTAGAGCTGATCCTATTTCTAGGTACTAAACTATATAGAGTACTCTATTAACTCTGTATATCTTACTTATACTCTTATCTATATCTCTATAACCTACTTATAATTATCCCTTTCCCTGTATCTATCTAGCTAATAGTCTTAAAGTTAAATTTTAAGTATAGATAGATACCTACTGGTAATACTAGTATATATAGATACTACTTATATTAGTCTGCCTTATTATAAATCTATTCTATTATAAAAGAACTAACTCCTTAAGTCTGGTATTCTATATATATAGATATAAATCTTACTATAAATAGGTATATTTTCCAATTCCTAATCAGTAAACCCTACTGCTATACTATTAACTGTATATACCTTATAAAATTATATACTAGTATAGTAGGTATACTCCGTACTAAGGTATACTACTTTATAATATCCTTATACTTATTATTTTATAGGTTAGTATTAAGTATAACTCGGTATAATAGATTATCCTGTATTATAGAGAAGTTAATATTTCGGATAAGTATAGTAATTTCTAAGGACTTAATATCAGAGAGCGAAAGTATTATATTCCTAATCTACAGATTATATATTTAGTAAATTAGGTTCTTAAGAATAAGATAAGATATATATATATATAAGGAAATATTAGCTGTTATACTAGTACTGAATCTCGCTATTGCTATAAGAAATAATCTTATATCGGGGGTAAGTAATTTGCTATAGGGTAGTATTTTAATATAAGTATTAGGCTTACTAGCCTACTAGGAGCTAGTTCTATAGCAGTAAAGAGTTATATATATAAATAATAGCAATATAAGTATAAAGCTGATATAGATAGTAGCTGTTTTATATATATATAAAGGGATAGAAAGAGGGATAAGAAGCAGTATAATATATAAATAAATCTTAAGAAAGAAAATAATAATAAATAAGGTATCTAGGGTAATATAAGATAAATATATCTAATCTAATCTGCTGGTAGTACTATAGGCTATAGGTATCTTAGGTAAGTTAGTTCAGTTATCCTCTACTCGAGTAGTAGCTACTGCTTACCCTTATCCTTACTAGCTAGGGGTATTTATTTCTAGAGAAGATACCTCTATACTCCCCTCCGTACTATATATCCTCAGCGCTCTACAGATATAAGTAATTCGAAATAATACTATAGGAATAAGTAAAGTATTTAATCCTAGTATATTTAAATTATAACTATTAAGCTAATCTAGAAGTATCAGTACTCTTCAGCTATAAATAGGGTAAATTAATAAGGGGGGATTAAATCCAGAGATAACTACTAAGGAGGAAGAGTTTTAGCTTCTATAAAGGCCTTTTACTAAGGGTAAGCTACCTATTAGAATAGTATAGATAAAGCTTAATAAAAGAGGGACTAGATAATTACTGATATTAAGATAAGAAATAGATTAGTAAAATTTAGATTTAAGTTTTATAAATATCCTGGTCCGGAGGTAGATTACTTAAATATATCTTATTAATTAATCTTATTCTAGACCTATATAGTCTTAACTATTATTATTACTAGGAGAGAGTTTAATATATATAAAGCTCTTATCTACCTATACTTAATTTTCTCTGAGAAGGCAGGTAGTAGCCTTTCTTTAAGGCCTATTAGCCCCTCTTTAATTATCCTAGTATAATTCTTATTATATTTTAGTAACTAAAGCTTTATAAGCCTTTAATCTTAAGCTGCTGTTCTATTAGTATATATACTATTTATTTTCTAGTAATTTAAAAAGATTAGTAAGGATTACTATAGAACTCTATAATTAGATATTAGAGATTATATAATATTAATATATAGTCTGAAGTCTTATTCTTAATATTAGTAATAACCCTAGGCCTATCTAATACTAATTAGATTAGCCTATTATTAGTATTTAATTATATTTTAATAAAATAGAATATAATCTAAGTTTACTTTAGGATAGTTTAAGCTAAATAAATTAATTACCTTATAACCTAGCCTCTTATATAGTCTGTACCTACTAGGGGAGGATATATAATATAATACCCTTTAATAGAAATAGATATTATATTTATTCTACTAGTCTGAGATACCCAGAGAAACTAAGTAATAAACCTATAATAAAACTAGCTCCTCCCTTCTGTAAAAAGCTCTTATAATCTTATACTAAATAGTCTTCTAGTTATCTATATCCTATTAGAGCTTTTATTATATTAAGCTTAGAGCTTAGTAATCTTATTTAGCTGCTTAATAAGAGAAGAGGGATAACTTAATTACT